TTACTTCCTCTAGCTGGGGTTGCGCAACCACAGCGAGATCCTCTACGAAAGACTCTCCAGTCGATCTAGATTATCGTTTCGCTTAACCTGAGCGATCGATTGTTTTTCTTCTATATGTTCCCTGCTAGGGATACATCTTTGTCCCAGTCCACCCGACTTATTCGAGTGGTGGACCTTCGGCGCAGCCTGTGTTTCCTCACAGCCGCCGGAACTTTGCTCCGAAGTGTAACCGTTTGGTACACTAAGGTTTTGTGCAGTCGTACTAACGACCGTACCACAAGTGAGGCCATCGCACCCACTCGTAGTACATCCACACGCTTGTGGACGCTCCAAAACGTTCATCAGATGGCTATCTGATGAACAAGCGGCAGGCGTCGTTACTGTTCGATGTTGCCAGTTTACCCGTGGTTCGTACCTTCTGAGCCACGGTATTCCAAGGATGACATCAAATTTGTCATCCAAATCCAATACGATAAAGTCATCGTCATATTGGGTATCTTCTAGCGTATAGTGAATCTTCACTATACGCTTCATGACGGTTACGGATGCGCCTGTCGCAAGACGTACCGTCATCCTCGTAGGAGGTGTGTCACATTCACTGAATTTAAAGTGATCATCTCCTAGCGATTGGCGTCGCACAAAATTGTTGGACGCCCCACAATCGACTAGAGCTCGAAGGGACAACTTATTCGTCACTTCGCGTTTCAAGGTAATGAGTGAGATCTCATTACCTAGAGCAGCAACGCACAACGTCTGTGTGTTGGGAGCAACCTTCATCAAGAGGCCTACAAATTCTATTGACGTTGCTAGACCAGTAGGGTGCTCCGCACCTACTGATCCTGTCCGTTTTTTGACGGTCCATCCAGTCGTTGCGTCTTTGCACCAACAGCGGACCAGCGTCCCTGCCCCTTTCTCATGGGTGGACGGTCACTACGCCCAGCGTTGCGAGACACTGGACGAGGGGCACTACACTCGTAAGCGTAGTGTCCTGTCTTTTGACATCTGTTGCATCTCTGCAACCTCTTGTAGCCTGTAGAGCGAACCTTCTCGCTCTCTACATAACAGAGTTCCATCGGCTCTGGACCTCCGTTGTCATATCGTCTCGGTTGACGATATGATGTCGAGCTGGCGCGAGCCTGTCTCAGACTGAAGTCTTCCTGCTCCGCAATGGAAATGGCTTGTTCTAGTGAATCTAGTTCAAGCCGGAACAGGTGAGTCTTGACGGGACCATCCGCAAGACCCTGCATGAACACCGAAACCAACGTGTGTTCATCCACCGGATTGGAACTTATACAACTCGTAAGATGTCGTATATGTTGCGCGTAAGCGTGCACATCACGCTTACCCTGCTTGAGCTTCAAGAGTTCGGTTCGAGCTCTGAACTCAGCTCTAGGCGGTTCAAACGTTTGCCTGAGCCGCGACTTGAAGACTTCCAACGACCCAAACGCGTATGGGTCGTGCAACTTGAGCCCCAGTGCCCAAGTCTTGGCACGTCCTGCCAGATTTGACTGGGCAAATGCAACTTGCATATCCCCGTCGTCGATGGGACGCGCCCTTATGGCGTCATCCAATTCGACGAACCATCTCAAGAGGGAGTCTTCTTCGACCCCTCTATACTTGGAGATGTCAATCTTCAAGGTTTCGGGTCGACGCGAGTGCATCGACCCACCAGCAGCAGCCTGCTGCTGTCTCAACAGTTCAAACTGTTGAGCACCCTGTTCTCTCAACAACTCTGCTTGTTGAGAACCTTGTTGGTGAAGCAAGGCTACTTTCTCGCGTTCAGCGTCAAGTTCATTTTAAATGAACTTGGCGATAGTAGCATGTTGGGCATCTCTATCGAGAGCCTCCAGCATGACGCTAACAGCATGGATGCCCATGGTTGAACCCATCCGTTCAACCGCATCCCATTCGACATCGCTCAAATGGGAGTAGCCGTCACGCGTATCGTGAAAGCTTTGGTCATCTTCATCATCCAACATATTCATGTTGGATGTGAACGTGGTCCTTGGACGGACTACGAAGTGCTACCAGGTGTAACGGGGCACCCTGAAGCTTGTACTGGTGACAGTACAAGCTACTTATTCTGATGACAGAATAAGGCGGTGCCTCGTAACTTCACGTACACTCGTACGTGCAGAGGAAGACGGTAAGAAGAAGCGAGTACTTGGTTAAAGTAAAAAGTAGAACTGTATTTATAATAGTTAATGTCTGCAATAAACCCCCAGTTTATCCTCATCTAACTATGTCTAAATACAAATGTGCATATCAACCATCTGCTCACCACTCATTGTGTGCGTCTGTCGTGGCGCGTCTTCGTTGGTTGATATAATGGCCTATATCAACCAATAAGGAACTACTCGTAAGTGCTGCAGAATATTTGTCCTTATGACAATATTCTGAGAATGTAACTCTTATAGTTATATTCTATTAGCAATTTCTTATAAATTGTTATGTAACGATTCACCCCGTTACAGTAATGATCCAACGGCTTCTTGTTCTGTAGTCGGGCTAAAACATTTGACGGCATCCCATTCGATTAGAATTAAATGGGCTTATCTTTCATGCGTGGGATTAAAATCATTTTCCTCATCATCCAACATGTTTATGGTCTTTAAACGGACCACAAAGTGCTGCCAGGTATGTAGGGGCCCACCTCATTCAGAGACTGAATAAATGTTGTAATGCTGACAGTGGAAGGGTGTGTGCGTCCAATTACCTCACGAACACGTAAGTGCAGAGGAAGATTGCCAGTAAGAGTACTGATAAAAAGTAAAAGTAATATTGTATTTAGTGTAGTTCATCTCCTGATAATAAATTCATTTTCATCTTCGTTTACGATACCTAAGTACAAGCATGTGTTGTAACTATCTGCCCACCACTCATTGCGTTCTTCTTTCGTTGCTTGAATTTATTAGTTGATATCGTTATTCTATAATCAATGAGCGATGTATGGTTCTAACGGAAGATTCGTACTTGATCCACTCTGCGCCAGGCAAAATCGTACACCCACACTTTTATCCACTGCTCAGTCACTTCTACGAATTAGAGGGTGCTATTTAGATGTGTGGTGTATTTTATGGATGGAATCACCGTATGTGTGTTAACGATTGCGATTTCACAAAGCGTATGGGGCCTCACATACAAATTACTGATTTTGCCCCCGGGGCCTTTTGAATCGTACAGCAATAGCATACGAATTTGAAGCATTAAATGAGCAGTTATAGAATCGCTGTAATTTAATAACAACAGTTGTTTTATTGCTCTTCTTCTCGAAGACCTCAATGCATTGTTGCGGCATTGAGAAAACAAACGACACAAGTGTGGCATCCAGGATATTGTTTAAAGTTGCAATTAGTGTAGTCGATAGTTCAGACACGCTCTTGAACCGTGGTCCATCGGCGTACATTGGCGTTACTTGCCTGCTCAAGATAGATTACAAGCTTTTGATGGGGCTAAGATCAGGTGACTTGGATGGTCATTCAAGCACCTGGAACCCTTCTATACTAAATATCTCGCGGCTAGCGATGTGAAATGTGTATACTTTTGTTTTCCTGTTCAAAAACAAAATCCGTTCTATAGTTCAGATGAGCAAATGGGAGAAGATATATCGACACTGTTTGAACATAATCATCCGAGTTCTACCTCCCTGTCAGCACCACGACCGGAGACTTGCCACGGGCGCTGAAAGCGTCCCAAACTATAATGGGCCCATCTCCAGCTTGTCGTCGCTTAGCCTGGCGGACGGACTGGCACAGATCTCTCCAGTTTTGCTGAAAGTTGGTGGATATGTCAAGGTTCCATTATTTCTTGTCCGAGAAAATAATGGAGCCCCAGACGGACCCGGCATCTTCATGCAGCAGCATATCCTTGGCCCAGTATTAGCGTGCACCCACGTCCACAACCGTAAGTGGAAACATGTTTTATATCTTGGCGTACATAAGCCAATTAACGTCGGTCAAAATGCGCTGCACGGTGCGGGCGGACACCGGCAAGCTGAGCTTGAACTTGAGCTAATTGGCGGGTAGGTTTCCACGTGGAGGTACGCAAGAGAAGTCGAACGTTGCGCTTCGAGAGAAGCGGTGCGGGTCCTCAAAATCTTCTATGTAGGAAGAAGTAGGGGATTCTACTTGACGTATAGTATCAAGGTTCCTCGAAGTAATAGTCTTTATGGCAAGCAAGCTCAGGCCAGCCTCTTAAGGCCCACCATCCTTCTTCGTTCGAGGTCGGTAAGTCATAGCTTCTTGTTGCCAGTCCCGATATAAAGCGCCGCTGACATCGTGTCGCCAAATGGAATGTGTGGCTAATCCGACCCAATGATTCCATCATTATAATACGTTATACTTCAAACCCGTATGCTATTTTGTACGATTCTAAATGTCGCAGTGGCGAAATCAGTAATTTGTATGTGAGGCCCCATACGCGTTGCGAAATCGCAATCGTTAACACACATACGGTGATTCCATCCATAAAATACACCACACATCTAAATAGCACCCTCTAATACGTAGAAGTGACTGAGCAGTGGATAAAAGTATAGGTGTACGATATAACCTGGCTTCGAGTGCAATTACCTTGCATAAACTATCATGCAACCGACGCCTCCCGTTAGAGGTAAAGTGTAAGTCGACGGTCCGCATATCACGCATTAACAATCTCAAATAAATTGTTTGCTTGCAGATATCGACATTTATGTAAAAGTGAGATATTTAGGTATCAACAAATTAGCGCATTTTCGAATCCGATAAAATTCCCTCTGATTATCATCGTACGAAACTAACATCCCGAAAAAACAGCTTCTACCCAATCGAAAAAATGGGCAGCATGTAGTCCTCCGTCTCAAATTGTGTGGTGGACACTCTTGAAAACACAACAACAACCTCACATCCTACAATAGCAACCCTCCCCTTCATCAAAAGTCGCCCCCCAGCCGCCATCTCTCTTCTCTCATTGGCTCAAACCACACTCCCCTCGCGCAACATTACATCCAACCACAGCTCAACATGCCCAAGCCCGACGTCGACAGCCCCGGCGACAGCGACGACGTCCAGACGCGCGCACTCGCGCAGCTCCACGACCTCCAGCGTCAGCACGCCGCACGTCAATCGCTTCGTGCTGCCAACAGCGCCGCTAGCGTCGCGTCCGTGCGCGCGCAGCTCTCGAGTCTCAAGCTCAAGTCGGACATCAAACGCTCGTCGGCGTTTGTGAAAAAGCTGCGCGTGTTGACCGAATGTAACGCCGACACGCTGCTGCGGGACGCCAGCGAATTGAACCTCACGCGCTACGTGAGCGAGTGCGTCGCGGCGCTGGCTGACGCGCCTTTCAAGCTCGTGGACCTCTCGGCCGCGGTCAAAGTCACGTCGTGTCTGCACCAGCGCTACGAGGACTTTGCCCCGGCTCTGGTACAGGCGCTAGTGCAGAGTTTCGACGCGCTGTACGCGTCCGAAGACAAGAGCAAGATGCTGCGGCGGCGGCTGATTCTCCGTCTGCTCTGTGAGCTCTACTTGGCAGGCGTGTTTGATGACGTGCAAGTGATTGCGCACCTGGTTCAGCGGGTGGCGAGACGTGAGCCGCCTATCGGTCTCAAACGCAGCAAACAGAGTGCCGTGGTTGGTGCAAATGCTGCCACGCCGCAATTGGAAGTCCCGCTGCTTGTAAGCTTTGCCAAGTCGGTCGGGGTCGAGTTTCTAGGGGTGCAACCTAAGAAGCTGAAAGAGCTGGAGAAACTACTGGCAGAACACCACGAGCCGGTGCAGTCATTTGTTGACAGCTGGACAGCGGTCGTACCCTCGAGTGTCCAAATCGAGTGTCGCAACTGCTTGAACGACGCGTTTGAGATGATTGGCAAGTATTATGTCGCCCAACACGCGACGGTGTGGAGAGTGGAAGCGAGGAATGAAAAGGAAGAAGTAAATCGTGGTGAAGTGATGGACGGTCATGTGCAAGAGCTCAAGAAAGCCAAGCTGTTGTTTGAAAAGCTGCAGACGAGCGTCAACGCGCTCGCAGACGCGCTGGATCGGGAAGTGCCACCATTGCCAGCGGAAACGAAAGATGACGGCTCGGGTCGTGGAGAGATTCACGTGTGGGAAGGGGGAGGACGTGAGGCAGGGCGCGGTGGACCATTTGATGATGAGGCCACGCGCTCGTTCTACGAAGATCTACCTGATCTGCTGGAGTTAGTCCCTGCTGTTGTGCTTGGACTCACGGAGGCTGATGTTGCTGAATTGAGAAAAAAGAAGGAGACGTTGGGGGACGACGAATCAGAGGCAGGGAGCGGACTCGATGAAATGGAGCCATGTGTAGATTATGATGAGCGAGAAGTTGGGGGGACAGGTGATACACTGGAAGGTGTTGAGACTGGTGCAGTCAAAGACACTGCAGCAGCCGATACAGACAGGGATGAGAGCAAGTCGGAGGACGGGATGGATGGTGCAAGGGTTTCCGTGGCGTCGTTGAGTGGAGCGTCAAGCAGCTACCATCATCAGTTGGATGCATTTTTCGCTTCGTTAGAAGATTTGGTGAATCGAGATCGCTGCGATAAGGCGGCAGTTGACTTTTGCTACCGTAACTCAAAGGCAAATCGAAACCGGCTCGTGAAGACTCTGTACGCTGTGCCACGAACGCATCTCGAGTTGCTGGCTCACTACGCGCGCCTAGTGGCTACGCTACAGAGTGTGCTAAAGGAGGATATCGGCGGCGAGCTTGTAAACATGCTCGTGGGCGAGTTTCATGGTCTGATTAAACGACGCAACCAATTTCGTCTTGAGTCGAAGATCAAGAATATCCGTTTTTTGGCGGAACTGGTGAAATTTCGGATTTGCCCGCCGCATACAGGATTCCGGTGTTTGCAAAAGTGCTTCCAGGATTTTCAGGGGCATAATGTTTATGTTGCTACGACATTCCTCGAGAATTGTGGCCGCTTTCTGTACTGCTCAAAGCATACGCACGTGCGCACAGTGGCTTGCTTGAATGTTATGATGAAGCTCAAGGCAGCCAAGCATTTGGATCCACAACTGGAAACTCTTGTCGAAAACGCATACTATATGTGTAAGCCTCCCGAGCGTGTGGAGCGTCAAGTGAAAGAATACGATCCGATGTATTTGTACTTGATTAAGGTGTTGTACCACGATTTGAATGGCTCCAATATCAACAAAGTTGGGAAAACGCTTCGCCGTCTTCCATGGCAAAACAGCGGTACTATTGGAATGGTCTTGAGGGCTATGCTGAAGGTCACAAAGGGCAAGGTGATGCAAATGAAATGGATATGCGAACTGGTGAAGGCTCTCTCACGATATCATGATGATATTCTGGTGCTACTAGTGGACAGTGTGTTGGAATATGTTCGGTTTGGATTGGAAGTGAACGACTATCGCGATCACCAGCGGAGTCTTGGGTACATTAAGCTGCTGGGAGAGATGTACAACTGCGGGCTTGTGAGCATGAATGTGTTAGATGAAATGCTGTATCTTATAATCAACCATTCGCACGACTTGCTGACATTACCACAGTACAACAGTGACAAAATGTCTGCGACTCAGTTAATGGAGATGAAGAAACGTTTTCTTTTGGTTCCTGACATGCGATATGACCCTCGCGTACCAAGCGAAGTCGACGGCCCGAGCGAAGTGTTCCGCATCCGCTTGGTCAGTGCCTTGATTGAGACATGTAGCGGCGGTGGACTGGCAAGTGTATCCGGCACAAACGAACGAGGAATTTTTCGGCCTCGCCTCGGTCGATTCATGGTCTTCTTTCAACGATATCTCTTGTCTAAGACGGATGTACCGATCGAAACCGATTTCGTCGTGTCTGATTTGTTTGATCTGCTAGCCACTACTCTGAAAGACTATTTTGAAAAGTTTGATACGTGGGAGGCGGCTGATCAGGCCGTTCAGACGATTCTTCGTGGTGATCTTGAGGAGGCTGAGCGCTGGCTGGCGAAAAAGAATGCGGCATTGTTAATGGCTACCAACGGCCTCGAGAGCGTAGCAGAAGAGAGAAGATCTATGTCACAGCTAGCTGACGACGATGAAGAGTTTTGTGCAGATGAAGAGGAAGACTCGGATGACGGTGACGATGATGACGATGACGACGACGAGCATGACCATGACGAGCAAGGTGAAGGAAACGACGATGATGTGAATGATGAAGATGACGAGGATGAAGAAGATGATGATGACGATGACGAGGAGGATGACGAGGAAGAAGATGATGAGGAAGAGGAGCGGCTTATCATCCACGATCGTATTCAAAAGAATGAAGAGGACGAAGAGTTTGAAAAGGCGTTCAGGTCGATGATGCATGGATCTTCTGACACGCGCAAGCCTGTGGCGAGGGTGAATGTTGATAAGATGGCTATTCCTGCCGTTGTGAAAAGCACAGCTACGCCTACACCCGCGTGCTCTCAAGGGGTCTTGTCTTTTGATACGAACGGGTCCCCCGATGGCGTGGTGTTCCGCATGCTTCGTCGTGGCAACAAAGGCAAAGTGGAGGCGCGCGCTTTAGTCGTGCCGGAGACGTCGTCCCTAGCTCAGCATAGTCACCGCCAGGAAAATGCTGGCAAGAAGGAGCAGTCCGAGTTGAAACGACTTGTGCTACAAAACATGGAGCGGGATGATTTCATGAGTGATGGGCCTTCCATTGAGAGCCTTCCTAGCTTCGGCCCTTCTGCCCACACGAGCGTGAATCAGGGTAATCACGGGGCAGGGCAGCAAGCAGATGATGCTCGGTTGGGGTTCGGAGGCGGCAGCGAGTGGAATAACGCAGAGTTTGGGCTTCGACGGGGCAAAGGATATCGCGGTGTCAAGTAAGCGCCGGGTCTAGTGATCGTTGGACGTAGCATGACTGAGAGCATTCCCAGCGTAACCGGAGGTGTGTCATTACAAAGGTTCTGGCCTAAAGCAAACGATTTGCAGTAAACCTGTGGATTCGAGCGAGGCTAAGCCATGGCGTCTTGCTCGTGTATGATGGTGAGGTTGGGGGCTTCCCGCAGCGCACGCAGATCAGTGGTAACCAGACCATAAGTGCGCACAGTGACTAGTCTTCGGTGATCCAGTATTAAGGGACCAACGACTCGAGCAGTTTGTACTGTAGTCGTGTAGACATAGCGCCGAACGTGGTGAATGTACCTTCAGGGGATAGCACGGCATGTGAAGGGCGCAGGGAAAACACTAGTAGGAGCGGATGTTGGCGAATGAATGGACGCATTTTCCAATCTTATCTACTAGCATCCCGGCCCGCACCCGAAGACGATGCGGAAGAGTTGCGGTGGCGTAGTCCACTGGTCGATATGATCAAACAGAAAAGAACACACTTGAGCATGCACGAGCTGGTCCGACTCCAAGAACCTGTCAGTACGTTCGACTCGTGCATGACGCAGCAGACAAGTACAAGGCGACAAAAGAGTTTTTATTAAACAGCGGAGGCGGCTCAACGTGTATGTACAAGATGCTAGGACTCTAAAATCTCGAGCCGGCAGCGCAAGTCCCGGAACAATGACTCCTCGATCACACCGAGAGCAGCACGTGAAGGTGCGCACTTCAGGACAGGTGAATTCTCTCGAATACTACTTGTCTCCATCTTCGTTCTCGTCTTCGTCCGACTCGTCGTCCGAATCGTCCGACTTGTCGTCCGAATCGTCGTCCTCTTCCGAATTTGACGTCGAATCCGAGGTCGAACCCGAGGCCGAGTCGGAAGTGCTTGAGCTATCGCAAGCAGTCTGAAATTGCTTCAGCAGCTTAGCAAAGTTCAGTTTGGCGTCTACGAAGGGGATTTTCAGGATGCAGTCAGGCAAGTTGAGTCCATCGAGATTACTGATGGATGAGTTGCACGCGGGGATGTCACAAATCTCGGCCATCTTTGCTTCAGTTGGCAGGTTGTCGGCCGTGTACAAGTCGAAGCCCGAGGTGGCGGCGCAAGCGCCTACATCTTTAGAATCGTTCAATACCTGACGTACATGTGATCCAATGCGCATCGTTTCGATCACGCCGCATTTTTTGTCGGCGTCCGCATTGTCGCCACGCATGGGGGCGACCAAAGCGAGGATGGTGGAAGTAATGGTGAAGTACTTGAGCATCTGAAGTGCTGGACGTGGTAGTTGCGGAAGGCAAATTGTGAAATGAGACCTTGATTTGACTGACGGCACGGGGAATGGACCAGGTCTGTCGAGACGAGTGTGGATCATAATGCTGTATAGATTAATATATCTCACAGACTAATAATAGCACACGTGTTGTTCCAGGAGTGGGTGTATGCATGACGTGCCTATGACAATTTGTATCCTTTGACTTTAACATCTTCAATGACAGGACCAGAATGATTAAGTTCGACAGAGGAGCGTGCGACACGAAAGGATCAGGTGTGCGCGTGTTTTGCACTGGGTAGAAGACAAAACTCGTGGTGGAAGACCTTCCATTTGATTTCATTCGAGCAAAAAAGGGATTTGAACCCTCAGCATTATCCTTGGCAAGGTTAGGTCGTTGTATAAACGTGATTGAGACATTTGTTGAACCTCTCGTTGAATCTCTGATTGAACCTTTAGTTGAGTCAAAGTATCTCCTGTAACGGGGTGAATCATTGCATAACAATTTATAAGAAATTGTTAATAGAATATAACTATAAGAGTTATATTCTCAGAATATTGTCATAAGGACAAATATTCTGCAGCACTTACGAGTAGTTCTTAATTGGTTGATATAGGCCATTATATCAACCAACGAGGACGCGCCACGACAGACGCACGCAATGAGTGGTGAGCAGATAGTTGATTTACACATTTGTATTCAGACATAGTTAGATGAGGATAAATAGTGGTTTGTTAACAGACATTAACTATTATAAATACAATTCTACTTTTTACTCAAATCAAGTACTCGCTTCTTCTTACCGTCTTCCTCTGCACGTACGAGTGTACGTGAAGTTCCGAGGCACCGCCTTATTCTGTCATCAGAATAAGTAGCTTGTAATGTTACCAGCACAAGCTTCAGGGTGCCCCGTTACTTCTCCCCCAGGTACTTTACAAATTCAACTAATTGTTGAGCGGTAAAATAGTCTCGCTATTTGAAGCGTGCTTGATCCGTTCGAAGATAGGTCTCTGTCGTTATTAACCTATGCTCATGTCAGCAATCTTCGTAAAGTCTTTTTGTTGTTGTGCCAGCCCGGCTGCAGCGCACAAAATACTGTGGCAAAGTCACTACTCAAATTTTGTACGAGGATCGGTGGCCACACCTTTAAAGCGCCGCTTACTGGTGGAAAAGGAGACCATGAGACTCGACGATCCAATACGGAGGTGGAAGATGATCTTAACGGGATCGTCGAACCGATCCAACTGTCGTTAGACTAATGGGTATGGATCGACCTGGGACGGAGCGATCTGGAACGATTTACATGTAACAATCTGGGACAAGGATCTGGGACCGGGTGATGGGATATGACTCTGCGACGAAGGTGTGACATCTTGCAGAATGTTATGGGGCGATCTGGAACCAGACGTCGGGATGAAGTCATACAGCTCATTGGAATGCCGGTCAAGAAGAAGTATACGTACATTGAAGCAGGCTAAGATCAGATCGCAGGTCGACATGTTGTGGCAACGGTCTGTTGGAGAATTGACACATCTGGGACAAGGTGACTCCCCAAAGTGCATCAGGGACCAGGTGGTACAGGTCGGTGAATCGGCAAAGAAGGTGCAACACCATACGGATCGGTGATACTCTTTACCGATCCTAAATTTGGAGTACTGATTTTGGTTAATTATACACCGATCTGGAAGTTTTGCATACTCAGGGGAGTCAAGGAAACCGATGTCGAGACGTATGAATGAAGTTGTCGATTGGATAACACTGGAGGATGATATTGAAGCACGTATGAGGAGATGAAAAAGTGTTAATTGCCGATTTAGACCGGATCGACCTCCAACATCTCGATATTGGATGACAGATCGGTCATGTTCCACACTGATCATGAATATATGGTTGATGAAGACACTGGATCATGTGGAATATACTTGGTAGAGGTCACTAAGTGATATCAAGAAGTTTCACGCCGAAAGAGCCAGTGGAAGCTGTCCGAATTGACGTCGCAAAATGGATTTAGACGCCTTCGGCATTTGGGCACTATTTTGGGCTTTTGGGTACCAAAAATGGGTATTTGGTACCCCATTTGGGATTTGGTCCTCTTTTGGCGTTCAGGTACGGTATCGGGAATATAGGCGCTATCATTGGAGTACAGGGCACGAAATTTCGACATGTGGCAAGGGGGCGATCCAGATTCAAGGCGATATCGGTTTGAAGAGTGACCTATAGTTAAGAATAGGCATAAGGGTAGGTTGGATAGTAATTTGGTTGGTTAATAAACAGACTTGAACTCTACTTCTTCTGCTCACGACGCACGTTATCCTCCCCTCTTCTCCAGGCAAGATTGATTTGGCTTCCCCGGCGGGTTAAGGCACGCGTGTTACAGGGACACAGAAGACTGATCTTAGATTGTTGGCCAAGATCGAGAAGAGCGATCCCGGGATATCTGGCCCAGATCGATCAAGTACTCACACTCAACTCAACTGCTAGGGTAGCAGCACACAACGGAAAAGGAAAAGGATTTTGGACACAGGATCGCGAGACGGCTCAAGTGGTCAGAAGATCTGGACAAGGCGTTCAAGACAAGACCGAGCAGGATCGAAGCGATCCCCTGGACAGATCGGCACGTTTCATTTTGGCGAAACAAGACACCGATCTACCCAAATTGCGCACTTCCGGCAAGATCGGCCGATCCCAAGACCAGATCGGACCGATCCCAAGGCAAGATCGACGCAGGACTTTTATTTGCTGAGTGAAGATTTCCGCACAGCAAAGACCCCGATCTCGAAGACAAATCAAGATCGGTGCGATCCAAGATCGGGATCGCAGAACCCCCGTTCGTGGTGTGAAGATTTCCGCACCGGAAGCGAACCCTCAACCCAACCTCTCAGCGAGATCGACATCTCCCAAGGCCGTTACGAAGAGCTCAAGCCAGCCCAACCGACGGGTACACAAGGTGAGCACAAGGTCATACAACAAGGCACGGATCGGAGTACCCCCTCCGTGAGTCGGCAAGTCTGGGCAAGTGGAAGATCGACACTCATACAAGCAATTTTGTGAGATCGACTTCACCACAATACCCTGACAACAAATGACAGATTCGAACGACCAATCGCTATAGTTCGCGATCGTTAAAGGAAGCATAGTAGGTGGCTACTGATCTTGTCATCTTCGGTCGATTTTTATTCAGAGCGATATTATCCGGCACAACACTCTAGATGCACCGACACCTAGCACTTTCGGCATGCGTGCTTGTATACAGCTATCGGGGTAATTTGTTTGCAGTCATGTTGACTTGTAAAAACGACAACATTGATAAAATTCAGACGCCGATACCGAGGAAGGACGTCATCATAGATGTTATGCAAAAAGTACCATCTTTTCGTCCATGGATCGGATGGATGAATTCTACCAGATCCTCATGCGTGGACGGGATATCCCGTACACAGCAGTAGGCAACCTCAGCGGTATGCTCTGGGAGTGGCTAGGTAATGCCACAGCGGCTGAGTAACACCCCTGCAACGTTCAAAAGATGTGTTACGAATCTGTTGCGATCGGCGCGAGATTTGCACCGAGTTGCTTTGATGATGCTTTCGTCCATAGCGGGGATATGGATGGAAAGACCGACGTGGATGTTCATAGAATCCACGTCCAAAAGTTTCTTACACTTATGCGTGAGCATAAGTTGTTCGCGAACCTCAAGAAGTGTATATTCGCAGCGAACGAAATACCACTTCTTGGCTGCATCGTGGGTAAAAATGGAGTACGTCCACCGGAAAAGATCAAGGCGATTAGTGACTGGCCTGTGCCAGTCGACTTCAAAGGACTTCGAAAGCTCCTTGGCTTGGCGGCGTGCTTGCACAAGTACTCGCGTAACAATGCTGAGATGACCGTACATCGCTCTCGTCTGCTAAAGAAAAGCGAGAGATGGTCGTGGAGCTCTGAGTGTCAGCACTCCTTTGATGGTATCAAGAAGAGCTTAACACAATCGCCTGTGTTGTCGATTGCAGACCAAGACAGATTTTTCCACGTGGTCTGTAACGCCAGCGTTTTTTCAATCGGCTGCGCTTTTGTGCATTACGACTCAGAAGACTTTTAGTGCGTTGTCTGTTACCAATCGCGTCAGCTAAAAACGGCTGAGGTAATAACTCAGTGCATGACAAGTAATCCCTTGCCATGAAATTTGAGCTGGCTAATTTTCGTGTCTACCTCTTAGGAGATAGGCTCTTCATCGTTTGTACCGACCATGCGTCATACGCACGGCCGTAAACAGTCTACACCTCTCGCAACGAATGGCCAGGTGGCTGTATTTCTTCGTGGACTTCAAAATTTCCGTCGAAAGTAAACCAGGACGACTTGTTTCGTTGCTGATGATATTTCGCGTCGTCCCGATTTCGAGTAGACTGCTCAAACCAACAGTAGGGGTGATCCCACTGGTGCGACACTATCAGTGAGTGTTCCGTCGTCGAATCTACTCGACAACGTGAGGAAAGCATACACAGAATATATGACTCTCCTGCGGTCAGTGGATTATGTATCTGATCCATGCAGTCAAACTTTAATAAGCTTTTCGTCTCATAACCGCACTTCAACCGAACGGTATTCTGTTCGTGATGGACTGCTGTACTATACAGCAGTCACCGGCGACACGCCTCGTGTCGTCGTTCCCGCTCATGATAATGTGCAATTGCGCATCATGTGTGAGTGTCACGATGCCCCAACCATTGGTCATCGCGGTAGAGACAAGACTTATTGACGGTAAGTCGTGACTTCTACTGGCCCGCCAGTGTGCGTTTGTGCGCAAATAAATCCGCGCTTGCGAATTTTGTCAACGGGTGAAGCCTAGTCCTTCATCCCGTGCACACTTGCAGCCTCTACCGATTCCAGTAGAGTGCTGAAAGTCCGTATCGATGGACTTCGTCTTTAGGTTTCCCAAAGACGCTCACAAGAATACTGGTACTCTTGTGTTCGTTGATCGTTTCTGCAAGATGGTACGTCTCGTTGTTGTAACGGAGTCGATCACAGCCCAGGACTATGCTCGTGTCTTCATTGATACTTTCTTCCGACTTCACGGGTTACCCCGTGAACTCGTGTCTGATTGGGAATTCCCGCTTCACAGCGGAGTTCTGGCAGTACGTGTTCCGTTCACTTGAAAAACGTATGAAGATGTCAACTTCTGACTATCTTGAAAGAGATGGTCAGAAGGAACGCGTCAACCGCGTTCTTGGAGAGATACTTTCGAGGATATGTACACTCGTTTGCGAGTTTGAGTGAATTCTTACCGATGGCGGAATTCGCCAACGACAATTCAGTGCATGAGTTAACAACGCGTACGCCGTTCTTCGTGAATGACCTACGCCGTCCAATTTTACCCGCCTTCTTAGAGTGTGACTTTAGTTAAAGGGGGGGGTGGACTCGCTCGAACAAAAATAGATCTGGTTCTTGCTCATCGCCCGTCGACAATGATGTCGACGTGATGGATGCCGATGTTGATCACATCAATACTGATGACGATGATGCCAACGATGCTGGTACATTCAGCATCGCCAACGTCTGTTACATAACGGACGATTACGCCTTCTTTGATGAAGACAACGGTCTTTCAGCATTACGCTCAAAGTGCACTGCTGTAAACAAGGATGAAACAGCAGATAAATTTCTGCTGACACGCGAAGCGGTTGTCCGCTTTGCTCAAAATTCTATTGCAGATGCACTAGACAGACAGAAAAGAAACGCAGAAAAACGTGGAGAGAAGATGTTCTTTCACTTGATAAAGGAGACTTACTTTTACTGTCAACAGAAAATCTAGAAAAATATGCAGTGACAAATGTGGGCAACAGCAAATTACTACCCAAGTACATCGGTTCATTTCGTGTATTGCGCCTCATGGGCAACGGATACAAGATTGAACTGCCTCGTAGGATGCGTACGCATCCTACGTTTTGCGTTAGACTTCTCCACTTGTCCAATTAGTAAGAGCCCGTTTCGAGAGGCGAAGAACAACCCCGCGGTCAAGGGCAGAGACTACCTTTGAGTGGTCCCATTTACAATGAGCCAGTCTGTTTGACTAGCGAAGCGATATGCTCACGTATTCGAGCGCTATTCTGACGAGCTGCAGTCAGCTCGACACGAAGCGACGAATCGAGCGTTCATCTCTAGTTGCGCAAACTCAAACGCGGCACGATCGTTTAAACGATCGTGAGCTAAGGAACTGTAACTATCCTTTACAATATCTAAGAGATTACAACGTCGAGTCCGTTCACAAGCCAAGTCAATGTGTAACTTATCCGTCCCACGGTTCAGTTCCTAAAAATTAAGCTGATCTGACCCTCGAGCCGGATCATGTGTTCCCTCCTCCACCATATGCTTTGGTGTAAATCACGGTGGTCGACTCTTTCTGGTGGAGCGTATCTTGAACTACGGCGACTAAAAGGAAGACAGAACAATTTAACTCTTCCGCAGGCGTAGCTCCGGCCTGGGACAGGAGGAAGCCTTGTGCCCAGATGATTGTTGACGTTCTGGGTCTCGTCGAGCAATATGACGAGACCTACCCGCAGCGTTTAAAGAAGGGCCGTCGTTAAACGACCTCCCCGAACGCGATTACAAGGATTGCGAAGTGTCAATGCCATTTTCCGTCTCAGAAGAGATGAGCGCCCTCGGGGAGGTAGGCCTCCCTTGTTGCAATCTCTCTAGCGCTGAGCTTTTAGCTAGTTCTGTGTTCCTGATAACACCAGATGTATACACCTTGACACACAATGATATTTATTACTTAGCTTAGCTCTTTCTGGCTAAAGACGACTTGCCTGACACTTTGCGATTTTTCGACTGAGCTATTCCTGCACGCGGTTGCAGCTAACCTGTTCACCGTTACCTTCGTCTGTCGACTCGTCCCATTCTGATATCCGTCGTCTCCCTTGTCCCTCGTTTCAATTGACGAACGGTAAACGTACTTTAGACGTTCCAACGGCTTCAAGCTGAGATCATTTTACAACACACCTTCTCCGACGCTTGCATTGGAACACCTTGACTCATATGAGGCTCTCATGCCAATTGTGGCTCGATACGTTGAAAGGCTGCGCTTTAGTAAAGCCTTCATAAACATGTCAGCAGGATTATCTGTTCCGGCCACTTTCTCCACCATGTAGTTTCCAGCTTTAATCTGTTCGCGCACATAATGCCATCTTAACGCAATGTGCCTTGTCTTGCGGCTATGTGTTGGTTTGCAGGCCAACGAAATAGCTGCCGAGATGTCAATGCCCATTGTTATCACAGTACGTGCCTGCAGACATTGTAGAATATCATTGATCAAATGCGCGATTCCACGGCTTACCCTCGATGCATCGCAGGCTAAAACATATTATGATTCTGCGGTTGAGTGTGCGACGATTGTTTGACGTCTGGTGGTCCATGCTACAGCACCAGACTCCATCAGAAGCACAAATCCGGTAACACTTTTTCTTTTATCGGGATCGTTTCCCCAGTCAACATCGCAATATCCAGTGATGGCAACAATATCGTTTGTATCCATGGCTTTTGAGTATGTAATACCGGCCTGTCGTGTGCCAGACAGGTATCTTAACACGCGCTTGACTAGTCCGCAGTGTTTTCGCGACAAGTCGCTTACAAAACGGCTCGAATAGCCCACAGCATACGATATATCGTGCCTTGTACCAGTCGCCAAGTACATTAATGATCCAATAGCTCCTCGATAATCGAATTCATTGCAGTCATCTTCTGGTTGTACCATTTTCTTACTGTATGTAGCGTTGGTCTCCCTAGGAGTTGCACTTCCGTGCGCTTCGGCAAATTCGTATTTCTCGAGAACCTCCTTGCAACTTTTTTTCCTGGTGAATGTAAGTATCCATGTTACCTTGCTCGACATTAATGTCTAATAAGTAGTGTAGCTTTACTCTATCTTTGAATCCATATTTCGCATTGATCATGTCGGAAAGCGATGTCTTATATGCCTTTGAGTCGGTTGCCAAGACCACATCGTCGACGTATAGCATGAGAAGAGCTATCACTCCATGCTTGTAGTAGACGTAAAAGACACGGCTCAGTCTCACTTTTTTAGACTCTTGTGTGACCAACCAGTGATCATTTTTTTATTCCATTCGGCTCCTGATTGATGCAATCCATAGAATGCTCTGTCCACACGGTATATTGGTTTTTTACGTTGAGGAATCCTGGTGTACTTCGAACATACTGCTTGATCTTCAAATTTGCATTTAAGTATGCGGTTTTCACATCTCCCTGGTATAACACTAGTCCAAGCTTTGTAGCTAGCGCCACCAACACTCGGAATGTAACCATCCGTGCCACGGGCGAAAAAGATCCACGTAGTCATTTCTGGCTGCTGGTGGCTCCCTAATCCCACAAGCCTAGGACTAAAACGTGTAATGTACCCTTGATCATCAGTTTTTACTTGAAACGTCCACATCAATCCCTACTTGTTTGTGTTGATCGGTGCCGGTTCTGCATCAATTGGAACAAGTACTCCCTTGAGTAACA